ATTTCGTCGGTAGGAACAGTTACAACCACAACAAGCACATACTATTTTCCAAGTACACTCATATCCAAAAAACGTGAAAAAAAACGAAAAGTGATGAGTCATCGGTGAATCATCAGTACTTTTGCGTTATTTTGCAAAATAATCAACGGATTGTATCCTAATGATATTTATGCAAAATTATGCAAAAACATTATCAAATATATAGCATATGCTATATATTTGATAACTGAGGTGTACGTTACCTAATACGTACTTTGTCTTGAGCATAAACATGTTTATGCACTTACATACGGACAAGACAAAGTACGTATTAGGTAACGTACACCTCAGTCAATGGCATGATTCTGCAATCAGATTGCTATAAAGCATTTTCGTTTTTTACGAATAGGTTTATGACTGCCTACGCCCGACATCTCTTTGTGGTATTTTTAAAACTTTTATTGTTTCAAACTGCAATGAAGCAAACTAGTTAAGACAATTTATAAACAAATATTTTCTTCTTATGATTGCACTACTTGTATAACGACTTTCGAAAAAAGAGCTGAAATAGAGGCACGTCATAGCTTGCATGGCTGATGCTTCATCCCGGTATTTCTCACATTAAGCGTACGCCTTTATCTCAAAGCGTACGGTACGCGAACTAAAGTGTAAATACGCTCTGATATACGCTTTGTGTTTGATTCCAGAACTCTGGGAAAAAAATACTCTTTCAGTTTTGTAAAGATTTAAAGAAGAAGAATAGCATTTGACCACTTGCTATCAAGCGGTTTATTTTTAGATAGAAAATGAACTTGAAAACACCGAAAAAGCCCTTTAAAACACTTTTTTTTGTATTTGAACTTGATTTTATTAAAACAGAATAATGAATAATGATCTTTTTTTTCTTCCTTGTTATAATACGCATATTTTATGACTTTGTACGCGTTGCATTTAATTCTAAAGCATACACGTACGCTCTGCGGTCAGTTACAAAGCGTATATGTACATTTTCTGGCAGATTCGCATTAGAAACCCTGCTTCATCATTTTCTAATGGATTCACTGGGCTAGGACACGGTGGACGCAAAGGCTAGGCGCTTGTGTTTAACCTTTGATTTTTCATTAGACTTTTTCTGCATTCCATGCTATGCTGAAATAACTAGTCATAGAATAAGAAAACATGACCGATAGAAATTTATGAGTTTTCGCTGGGTAAATTTTGGGGCATCCTGAGCTGTGGTCTTTGTTTTTTGCACCGAATAACTAAAGAAAATCTTATGTACCCTACTGTTCTTGTATGAAATGTTTGTTTTCCCTCTCAAAGTATAAGAAACGCTGTGCTTTCTTCTTGTCTTAGACTATGGGACCAAAAGGAGGTGTTCGTAAAAAGGTACCATTACATATACGTGATACACGAAATATAATTACTGAAGATAGTCAACAGAAATAACGACAGTCACAACGGCTACCTTCTCAAGAAAAAAATCTAAAAGGAGTCATGTTAATGACGAACTTAAATGAACCGCAAAAGCAAGAGGATCATTTGATTGTCAAAGCACCGAACTCGAGTTATTTGCTGATACCATCAAATTGGTTTTTGAATTCAACAAAACAACGTATCAGTCAAGGAAGGATTGGTTCATTCAAAAAGAATCCTACCGAAAGGAAAAAAGCACATAAAGGAAGTGTGATGACAGTCGGTGAGCGTTAGCTTTGAATTCTTTGTTATCTAGATTGTCCGAAACAGCGCTTCACTTCAGTACATTAATCATTTGTCTCCATTCTTTTAGGTACACGTGAACATTGTGAAAAATATTTAAAACAAATAGTAATGAATGAAAAGACTGATGTCACCGATGAGCATTCTTTTTCAATCGGACAAGTAGAGCAACAACACATCAGAATGATTAAAAATAATAATAAAAATGAAGAAACGGAAACCGAATCAGTAACAAGTAATAAAGGATGCATTAATACTTGACCTTAGCAAGCTCTCTGTTATATTATCTTTGTGCGGGTATCATTAATTAACCATTATAATTACCTTCTAGTTCAAAGATTCATGTTCTGATATTTCAGGTTTAAAATTGAATGAAACACAGGAAATACGAACAAATAAACATTCTCAGATAGAACATAAAGACCGACAACAAGCTGGATTTATGCATTCTCGTATTATTTTGGGAGTTAGTGATGAAAACACATCGACAACAAAAAAGAAAAAGAAACCTCAATCTGTTCTATTGCCAAAAATAGGCAAGAAAAAAGGTAATAGAATCTTTTCAGTTATTGTAGGTACATATGTTTCTGTTCAAACACTCTTTGGGTTTTTTGTAGATAACAAAGAAAATTTACGTATAAATAATGAGCCAGAACAAAGTAATCAACAGCCTAGTACATCAACAACAAAGTTAAGTCTCTCAGTATTTCAACAAATACTTCTCGATGATGATGAAATGCTAGTCGATGATGATATGGACGACGACTTTGCTGAGTTGAATAGTCCGCCCGACGTCAACATATCCTATCGAGAACGTTGTGATACTCTACAAACGAAAATTATCAAAATGAGAAAAAGAATCAAAAAGTTAAAAGCAGAAATAAAAAATTTAAAGGTGTCAACTATGCGTAAGTTGATTCTTTCCTATATAACAGATTTTTGCCTTATAATAAATGTACTGCTATAATATATCACACCTATACTGCAGCGTTAACGCTTTGCTTTTGTTCTTTTTGTTTAGAAAGACCAGAACCTGAGATGCAGCAGGCTATTGTTGCTTTGGGTCGTCTTTTCCAAGCTCAAGCATTGTCGGATGAGCAGTTAGGTCAATTTGCACAAGCATTTGGATTGGATGTTAATCAAGTCATGGAAGCTGTTGGACCATCAATGCGTAAAACAGCACGTAGTTTGATTAGAGCTAAATATGGTGAACAACGATTGTCAATGATGACAACTAAGTATGGTGTACCAAAAAAAGAACGAAAGTTAATTCATAGTAGCTATTACCTTAGATGTTCATGTATATTTTCAGCAACTACGCGAGTTTTAGTTTTATAAAATACGCTTTTTCGACTGCAAACTAATTGAATGTACATTCCTTTTCCTTTCAGAATTTGTACAACTATATCATCCATTAGAAGCTTATAATCATTATCGCGTGGAAGAAGCAATGGATTCAGCAATACGTTATTATCGTATTAAACGAGAAAAAGCTGAATTAAAACAACATACATTACAATTGACACATGAACAACAACATTCAATTGCTGCTGCTTCGCTGAATAATGCTGCTGATAATGATGATATCGGTTCAATAACTGACAGTGAAGTGACTGAAAACGAATGAACCAAAAAGTCGCTATAATATTTACTTGCAATAAAAAAACATTAGAAATATCCTACTGCCTCTCACTAATATTTTTTCTAATCTATGATTTCTCTCCTTTCATCTATATGTATTTGTGTAAGTATCTTCGTGTATAGATAATTATTGTCCTGTGTTACATGTAAACATGTATTTTGGCTTTTTAAATAGCTATCTATTTGAAAACTAACTTAGTAGTTGTGATAATATACAAGTACTTTTTTTATTGTTAAAGAAACATGTACAGTCGTGTGTGTGTGTGTGTTTAGATTCTATTTTCTTATTCCTTTGTTTTTTTGAACATTTATATTATTCTTCAAAAGAGAAATGATAGGAATTAACAGAAAACATTTGCTGATTTGCACACAACAAACTGTTGGGAGAAGATGGGAGTGAAACATCTACGCTTAATAACTCAAGATCTTAGCAGCTTAAGCGCAGGGAGACAGTGATTGCTATCACGCAGCCGTAAGACATATTCGGAATCGTTTTTATAGCTTTTTGTTTTTTTATTAGTTCGTTTTGAAAGAAATGTGTACGATCACACTGTTTTTCTCTCCATTTGAGGTACAGACGCTAAGAAATGATTAAGAGTAAAACTGTGAGCCGAATGGAGAAATGGAGGCGAAGAAAAGATCAAGCGGCAAATTTAAAATTGCACAGTCTTTTCTCACGAATAATGGAAAATACAATAACAAGTTGTTCAACAGCGAATACAATAGTGCCTACTGTTACAACGCGGTTAGAAGTACAATTTGAACCGTAAGTCGGTTTTAAACAGCGTTTCTATATGAGGTCTGTGTTTTCTGCATTTCTTCTTTTATATTTAATGTTAGTTCGACAGAAGATTCGACTGAAAATGAATATGATGGCGCTAAACAACACTTTGGTTTTGAAAGTGAGAACGACACGTCTAACAATCTAATTTCTGGTGACGATACAGAAGAAGAAGATGAAATTCCTTCACACCAAGATCCTCTGCAGTAAAATATTTTAAGAAGTATTGATAGGTCGCTTCCTCGTTAAAGCTGTCTTTCTTTTTATACTTTTCAGATCGAAACCAATTAAAAACGAAACGATAGAATTAGCATCGATGATAGTCATATATCAGGCGCGTCACAAAATTAGTAATACTGCCGTAGATGACTTGTGTAAACTTATGCGATTAGTTGGGGTTGAGAATTGTCCACGAAATTATAAGCACATTAAACGATTATTAGAAAACAAGTCCATTCAAAAAACAACAATTACATGCTCCACCCTCGTTTTATGTCCAAATTGTTCTACTATTTGTGCAACAAAGACAAAATGTGATAATACGAAATGCGATCGAAAACAAGAATTCGACGAAGCTCCCCCAACATTTATAAAATTTCCCTTAAAACAACAAATATCCGATATACTTGTACGTGAACAATTTGTTGAATTTCCAACATTAACAACGATAACTGGAAACATAATGACGGACATCAAACATGGCTCAAAATATCAAGAAATCGTTACAGAACAAAATGGTAAACCATTCTTATCATTATTGTTAAACTATGATGGTATATCAATGTCAAACAGTTCGGATACATCGGTATGGATATTCTCCATGGTTATTAATGAAATTAAACGAACAAGACGATATAAAATAGAGAATATTATTACTGGAGGAATTTGGCCTGGCCCAACAAAAAAAAACAAATGGAAACGATTGTTTTGTCATTAATTGAAGATCTTTGTGAACTGGAACAAGGCATGAACTATTTCGTCAGGGCTAATGAGGGAAGACAAATGGAACTAAAATGTTTTGTTATTGCTGGTTGTTGTGATAAACCAGCACAAAGTCTATTACAAAATTTGAATGAACATAACGGTTTTTTTGGGTGTGGTAATTGTTCAATAAGAGGTAAAGCGAAACTTTCTTTCTCCTCTTTGCTCTGCCATAGAGACGAATAGACTTGGGGAATGAACAAGATGTTTTAAATCAAATAAGCAAAACTATGATATATTGCTTTTAGGAGAAACGAAATGGACAGCAAACGGACATGGAACTGTACGTATATATCCGCTTCCACCAGCAAATAAACCACAACCGGCCGTTAGAACAAACACAACATATGACAAATGTATGTTAGCTATTGAAGAACAAGACCAAAGAAAAAACCATATCAGAAGTAAAAAACAACAAGAAGCTGAGCGTAATCAACGGGAAGGGTGGCTAGGACCATGCCATTTTCGAAATTTAAAATATTTCGATGTTGGAATGAGCTTTTTATCTGATTCGTTACACAATGTGTATAGAGGAGTGGGGGTGAGTATAGATTATTCTTTGTTTTTTTGTTAGATGGATTACTTTAGACAATAATGTTAGGGGCGTCAGCTATTTAATTGGTGTTCCTGCTCTTTGACTTACCCTACGACTGATGATCATCACAAACAGTATTCAGCTGTTCTTATTATCTTGTAGAGGATATTACTAAATCTTTGGTTATTAGCCAAATATAAACACGAAGAATGGTCAGTTTATTTACATATTAATGATATTGACAGTTTGTTGGCTTGTTATAAATTTCCAACTAATTCTACACGTGTGCCAAGGTCCTTGCTAAAACTCCATCGATATAAAGCGAATGAAATTAGAAATATTATTTTAATTGGATTTTATGCATTTAAAAGTTTTCTAAAAAAACGATACTATGATCATTTTCTGCTATTGGTAATCGGCTTACATTTAGCAGAATCGACTGAAGTTGATCGAACAGATGTACCGATTATAAAGTCATTATTTTTTGAATTTTTACAATTATTTCCAAAATTATATAACAATAGACAAAATGTACAAGTGGTTCACAGTGTAAGCCACATAGCACAATCAATTGGACTGTTTTCTAGTTTGTGTCAGTATTCAACATTTAATTTCGAATCCGTCTTAGGTAATAGGAAGAACAATTTTTGTACAAAAGCCTGATTGTTTGTTTATTTTTTTTCTGCTTTTTAGGAATGATAACATCCTCCATTAACTCTACGCGACGCCATGCACAAGAAATCATAAATAAATTAACTTTAATTAAGTTATCGTCGATGGAAACTGAAAATTTTGAAAATAAACACTATAAACAATTTGTCAATTATCTTCAAGTGTCACGAAAATATATTCGTCTGATTGAAGATGAAGAAAATTATCAAACTGAACGTGTTCAAAGTAAAACGAAACTTCATTTAAACGATGATCAAAAACGTTATTTAGTTGCTTCGATCAATGATGAACAATTTCAAACATTTGATAAGATAACAATCAATTTCATTCATTATTCTACAATGAATTATTGTGCAGAGAAAACGTTTAATGATGCATGTATTTTATATCTATCAAATAATGAATTATTTGTCGGATTTATTATTCGTATAATACAAACAATCAAAAGCAATCAAAGTTTTATTCAAATTCAACGAGTAAATTTAACCGATCAAATAAAAACAACTGTAAATGAAAACATCGTCAAATGTAAAAATGTTTTCTTTGGAAAACTTCTCGATGAAACAACTGTCATTCAATCACATAAGATAGTTGAAAAGATTTGTTTTTTTGAAAACAACAATTGCTATCTGTTTTTTCGGTTTCCCTCATTAGTCGAGTCAAGTTAGAAGGTTATGCTTGCTTGAGAGGTGAAAGTTTATGTTATAAAATACGTGCCCTATCGTAAATCATTTAATAAAACTTGTTGGCAGTCTCTATCTTTTTCCGCAGAATGACTAAAGAAAATCAGTGTGGTTGCTCTTATGTACCTTACTATTTTTGTATGACGTATTACCTTTTAAAACAGACATATAGGCGCCTTATTAATAAATTTAGCATTGTTTTCAAGAAAAATTTTATTTGGCGAAAAACGCAAAAGTTTTACTAATTTTGGGCTAATACAAAATTTTGTAAATATTTGATTGAATAATTTTGCAAAAGTTTGTTTCTTGCAAAATCCACAATAAAAATGTCATATTTTTTGCAAAAATGACAAAAGAATTATCCACAAAATTCTGCATTAGTTAACCTTTCTTCAAAATTTTGTAAATACTTGGTTGAATTATTTTGCAAAATTTTGTTTCTTGCAAAAATTCCCAATAAATTTATCATATTTTTTGCAAAAACAAAATTTTGCGAAAAATGAGAAAAAGATTATCTACAAAATTCTGCATTAGATGACTTTTTTGCAAAATTTTGTAATTATTTGGTTGAATAATTTTGCAAAATTTTGTTTCTTGCAAAAATCCGCAATAAATTTGTCATATTTTTTGCAAAAACAAAATTTTGCAAAAAGTAACAAAAAAATTATCGA